ACACTGGTAAACAACACATCTCTGGAAATTAACGAACACAAGAAATATCACACGTCAGCAGTGTTACCAACACCAGCAACACTACACGTCACCAGTGTTACAAACACCATCAACACTACACGTCATCAGTGTCACCAACACCATCAACACTACACGTCACCAGTGTTAATAACACCATCAACACTACACGTCATCTCTGTTACTAACACCACAAACACCACACCACGTCCTCAGTGTCACGAACACCAACAACACACCAACGTCAGCATGTCACCAACACCATCACACTACGCGAGCACCGGTGTTACATACACAATCAACTCTCACGGAAAACTGTGTTAACAGAATCTCAAGACAATACTGTCAGAGTTACATTAACCCGCGAGTGTTAATGTTCTTGTATATGAGGGATCACTGCTGCAGTGTAAGTAACTGCCAGAAGTGTTTGTTCCGTGAATACTACCAGAAGTTTTTGTTCCGGTGTAAGACTGCCAGAGGTGTTTGTTCGGTGTAAGAGACTGCCAGAGCGGTGTTTGTGTCGGTGTAATACTAGCCAGAGGTGTTTGTGTCTGTGTAAGTACAGGCCAGAGGTTTTGTGCCCGTGTAAGTCCTGCCAGAGGTGTTGTGACGTGTATAGTACTAGCCAGAGGTGTTGAGTCCGGGTAAGTACATGCCAAAGTGTATTTGTTCAATGAAAAGTACTGCATAGAATCTTGTGGTCCATGTAAGTACTGCGAGAGGTTTTTGTGTCAGTGCAGATACTGCCAGACGTGTATTGGGTTGTTGTAGTACGGCAGAGGTGTTTTGTGTCAGTGTAAGGTACTGCCACGAGGTGTTTGTGTCGTGGTAAGTACTGCCAGAGATCTTTGTTGTCATGTTATACTGCGAGAGGTGTTTGTGTCAGTGGTAAGTACGCAAATGTGTTTTTTGTCAGTGTAAGTACTGCCAGAGGTGTTTGTGTCGGTGTAAGTACTGCCAGAGATCTTTGTGTCAGTGTTAGTACTGCGAGAGGTGTTTGTGTCAGTGTAAGTACTGCCAGAGGTGTTCGCATCCTCGGTGTCGGTGTTAAGTACTGCCAAGGTGTTTTTGTCAGTGTAAGTACTGGCCAGATTGTGTTTGTGTCAGTGTATACTGCCAGAGTGTTGTGTCGGTGTAAGTACTGCCATAGAACTATTGTGTCAGTGTTAGTACTCTGCGAGAGTGTATGTGGTCCGTTAAGTACTGCCATAGGTGTTTGTGTCAGTGTACTTACTACCAGAGGATGTTTGTGTCAGTGTAAGTAACTGCAGAGGTGTTTGTGTCAGTGAAAGCACTGCAGAGGAGTTTGAGTCAGTGAAAGCACTCTGCCAGAGTTTTGTGTCAGTGTAAGCACTGCCAGAGTGTTTGATGTAAGCGTAAAGTAACTGCCAGAGCTTGTTTTGAGTCAGTGTAAAGTACTGCCAGAGGTGTTTGTGTCAGTGTAAAGCACTGCCAGAGGTGTTTGGTCAGTGTAAGCACTCCTAGGTGTTTGATGTCAGTGTAAATCACTGCCAGAGGTGTTGTGTAGCGTAATACTGCCGAGCAGTTTTTGTCAGTAATATAGAGCTGCCAAAAGGTGTTTGTGTAGTTAATAACTGCCAGAGATGCTTTTGTCAGTGTCAGTACTGCCAGAGATGGCTTTGTGTCGAATGTAAGTACTTGCCAGAGATGCTTGTGTCAGTGTAAATACTACTGCCAGAGGTTTTGTATCAGTGTAAGTAATGTCCAGGATTTGTGAGTCAGTGTAAGTACTGCCAGAGATGCTTGTGTCAGTGTAAGTACTGCCAGAGATGCTTGTGTCAGTGTAAGTACTGCCAGAGGTGTTTGTGTCAGTGTAAGTACTACCAGAGGTGTTTGTGTCAGTGTAAGTACTGCCAGAGGTGTTTGTGTCAGTGTAAGTACTACCAGAGGTGTTTGTGTCAGTGTAAGTACTGCCAGAGGTGTTTGTGTCAGTGTAAGTACTGCCAGAGGTCTTTGTGACAAGTTTAAAGTACTGCCAGAGGTTTTTGTAGCAGTGTTAACACTGCCAGAGGTTTTGTGTGATCTTTGTAAGTACAGCCAGCGAGGTGTCTGTTGTCAGTGTAAGCACTGCCAGAGGTGTTTGTGTCAGTGGTAAGTACTGTCAGAGGTTGTTTTTCGTCATCAGTGGTAACACTGCCAAGCTGGTATTGTCTCAGTGTAAGTGCTGCCAGAGGTGTTTATGTCAGTGTAAGTACTACCAGAGGTGTTTCTCTCAGTGTAAGTACTGCCAGAGGTCTTTGTTTCAGTGTTAGCACTGCCAGAGTATATGGTACATCTGTAGAACACTGCCAGAGTTAGCATTTGTTCCAGTGTAAGTAGTGCCAGACGGTGTTTTGTCAGTTAATAACTACCAACAGAGGGATGTTGTGTGTCATGAAGTTACTGTCCAGAGGTGTTTGTGTCAGTGGAAGTAACATACGAGAGCACACACTTTGTTGTCATGTAAAACTGGCCAAGGTTTTGTGATCACGCGTAAAGACTAGCGCAGTAGAGATGCCTGTCTCAGTGGTTAGTTACTGCCAGAGGTGTGTCTTGTGTCCCAGTGTAAGGAGTACCATAGATTGTTGGTGTCAGTTGTATGCACACTCAGTAGGTTTTTTTGTGTCAGTGTAATACTAACTTAAGGTGTTTGTGTCAGGTTGTAAGTACTGCCAGATGAGTTTCTGTGGTGTCAGCTGATAATTACTAACTGCGAGAGGTTGTTTTTGTAGCGTAAGTTACGCCAGAGGTGTTTGTGTCAGTGTAAGTACTATGCCAGAGGTTTGTGTCAGTGTAATACGAGTTGCTCAAGGTGGTTTTGTGTCAGTGTAAAGTAGTACAGAGATGTTTGTGTCAGTGTAAGCACTACCAGAGGTGTTTGTGTAAGCGTAAGTACTGCCAGAGGTGCCTGTCTCAGTGTTAGTACTGCCAGAGGTGTTTGTGTCAGTGTAAGTAGTACCAGAGATGTTTGTGTCAGTGTAAGCACTACCAGAG